CTAGTATATCTCAATGGGTCAAAGAGGTGCGCAGACTGTCGCACCACTTTAAGGTCCGGTTTCATTGCGACGAATTAAACAGGGCAACCTCTAAGACCTAGCCTTCTTCCCCACCATAGACAACTGCAAAATCATCCGAGGTCTCTCCACTCATCTCCACTCTCGTCCGCATACTACTGTGCAGACATTGAATTAAACTTACCAACTTACTCGGACAACTAAACTTACCCAACACCAGCCACAATGCCTCGCGGTTCACCGTATCAAATGTTTTAGTGTAATCAACAAAAACCGAGTACAACGGCTGGTGTCGTTCTCTGCACTTCTGCAAATGACGAGTCGCAAACACCATATCGATGGTGCTGCGACCTGAACGAAATCCACATTGCTCTTCCGCCACGTTAGGTTCCACAACCTGACAGACGAGGCAGTTGAGCAGAAGTCGGGCAATCAACTTGCCCACACAACTCAGCACGTTGATGTCACGATAATTCGTGGCACATTGCTTGCTTCCTTTGCTATTGTACGGGGGTAGCGCAAGGGCATCCTTCAGCTCTGGAGGCACCTTCTCAATCCACACTCGTTGCACCAAGTGGTGCAGCTCATGCACCAACGCAGGCCCGCCGTGTTTTACTGCTTTAGGCGGGATCCCGTCGGCACCGACACACTTGCCGTTTCGCAGCTGAGCAAGTGCTCTCTGCGTCTTATCTAGTGTCGCTTTGTCCGGCAAGCTCACGTTCACCTCGTGCTGCTTCAGGCCGTTTAATTTAGGCCATCCAATCTCTGAACGATTGTTCAAGAGACAAAGGGATTTCGCCAGACCTACGTTATGTTATGACTCGGAGGATATTAATTGTACTTTTTATGTATTCCTCTCCTTAGTTCACAAAATTCATAGTATAGCTTTATCCCAATTTGGCTTGTAAATTATCTAGTCCAACCACCGCCCTCCTTGCTAACTGACTGGCGTCAGTCTCTAGCGGTCGTGAGTTCGATCCCCAATGGTTTACCCAGAGATGCTCATCACTGACGATCCCCAATAGAGCGGGACGCGTCTGGTGCTTTTTCGGATTGGCGGTTATGATATGTAACTTGTGAGCTGATGGGACTAATGCATTACAATCTTCAGTCTGTATGCAGGTAGCGCCTGTACTACTTTCGAGCAGCGTCCTCAGCGGCTCCAATCTCGGTCTATACACCGCCTACAAGGAGTCAAATAATAACTTGTGTTGGCGGCGTTCGGGGTGGCATTCCATCTGCCTCGTCTCCTCCGTCCACTACGCATTTTTAATGCGACGGAGCTCTCGGGTCAGTCCCCGTCGAAGTTTGCGAAACTGACTCTTCTTTCCCAAGTCACTGGCGTCCGCCACATGTGCAGCAAATGCTGCATTTTTCTTCGACACCAATGCGCCAACCGTCGCATTGTTCTCATCAGACCAATCAGGCCGCCTACACTTTGCGCGCTCGATGGTCTCCCTGAAAGTAGCTGTCAGTTGGTCGCGAATGTAGTGCCACAGATAACCCACTGTGGTTATGCAGTCCACATTATACTGGCTTGCACCCATCACCTTTCGCCACAGTACCAAGAGTGAGAATGTTAAATTTCCAACTCCGGTTAACGGCAGTCACACAGTACCTACTTTTCCTCACGTAGATGTACAATTTTCCTCCGCACCAATTTGTGATCAGTGCCACACACTGACAGATGGTCTACCCACTGCTGCTACTTTTGCGCCATAATCTCATGTCCTGGGCGCCTCCACGTGGCGACCGCTGGGTGGGAGTTGGGTTTCGCCCTTCTCTCTGCTAAGATCCAGGATACCAATCCGCATGAGTCGGCTAACTGACCATGTGCTAGACCCGCTGCCTTTCGGGTGTACATTTAATCGAAGGCTTTGGCTGAGTACCCGAGTCCTTCTACTGTCAGATACAGGTACCCTGCCAGTATCTCAGTCCATCCTCTTCGGAGTTTAGGAAGTGGTCGATGGTCCTCTTTCAGTAACACCTAGCCATGGGAGACAACAGGTCTACTGGTTGTAAGCTCATAGCTCGATTCGCGTAGAGCACGATCGTCACGCATTGTCTCTGACGGTGGAAGATCACCTGCAGGTGTTCAATGGTTTGCTACTGCCCGCCTCAAGCCAGCCAGCCCCTGGTCAGATTGGTTCAAACCTGCCAAAACCCACCTGCGTCTGGCCGTGGTCGCAGGTAGATCCTGATACGGTCGCAAAACACATATGCATAGTTCCAGCATTCAAAGGCTGCGTGTGACGGCCGTCAAGCAGATCCTAATCAGTCCCTGCAGTCACATTCCCGAGATGGATCTGCTCGCCACTGCCTTGTGAGTCAGGCTATTGAGCCAAAGGCTCTGGCCGGAGTCCCTCAAGCAAACGTCAAATTTACCCACTGCCTTGTGGGTCAGGCTATTGAGCCAAAGGATCCGGGCGGAGTCCCTCAGTCAAACCTCCAATTCACCCACTGCCTTGTGGGTCAGGCTATTGAGCCAAAGAATCCAGGTGGAGTCCCCCAAACAAATCTCCGAAGCTCAACCGCCATCTTGCGTGCGATTGCCCACCAATGCAATGGTATGTCTGCGCGCAAAGCACTCAGCATCGGGTGTTGGAACGTGCGCACACCACTACCGGAACTCGAGTGAGCGTCCCGAACGACGCACTGCGCTGGTCGCGATGGAATTGGCGCGCTATAACATTGATATTGAGGCGCTCAGCGAGACCCGGCTCACTGAGTAAGGTAAGTTGCATGCATCTGATGCTGGCTATACGTTCTACTGAGTGGGCAACGCCACGTTAGCACCACGTGATCATGGGGTCGGATTGCAATATCCGATCGCCTCCATGGCCACCTCTTGGGTGAACCAACAGGCATTAGCGCGCGACTGATGACTGTTCGCCTACGACTCGGAAGAGGTAAGTTTGCCACCTTTATAAGCACGTACGGTCCGACCATGTGTTATCCTGATGGCACGCGTGATCAATTCTACACTCAGCTATCCTCCGTGATACGGTCTGTGCCGAGAAGCGACCGACTATTTCTGCTGAGTGATTTCAACGCGCGCGTTGAGCGTGATGCATCGGTGTGAACAGATGTCATCGATCCGCATGGCATTGGTTCAACGAATGCGAATGGTGACAGGCTGCTCTCACTGTGTGGCACTCATGGCCTGGCGATCACAAACATTCGGTTTACACTGAGTGCGAGTGATATAGCAACTTGGACGCACCCACGGAGTGGTCATTCTCACCTACTAGACTATGGCATCGTATGTCAGCGTGATACGCGTAAAGTGCGCATGACACGTGTGCTGAGTTTGGCACTGATCACAAATTGGTGCGGACCAAACGGTACATATATTTTCCTAAATGTTTGTAATTCATTGCCGCCGTGATTTGGCGTACATTTAACATTCTCTCCCACGGTGCTGTAGCGAAACGTGTTGAGTTGGAGAAGTCGATGGCTGCATGTCTGGATACATTTCATTCCGCTTTAGTTAATTTGGTTTGCCTACCTGAGTGATCTGCTATTAACTGGCCACGTTGCTTACGCTCTTTGTAGTTATTCTTCGTTAACATTATTGTGTTTGTAGCATTTTTCAATAACTTGTAAACATTTCGTACTTATTGCGGATTCGTTGCTAACCCACTTACTTCATATGCTAATTTTGCGAAGTGTTATGTCTGCATAGCTCTATTCTTTAACAGATATATTTTATTTGTTAATGTTATTTCAATTGATTGGCTTTTGTTTGACATCTCCGTTGTGGCTGCGCTTGATGTGCATGTTGACAAGGTGCCTACTTGTCTCTTAGTCACTACCTCGTCCATTCTGGCTCAAGGAGACAGTTTGTCGTTGCTGGAGGTGACAGGGGGTCGCTGTCCTTGTGGTGGTGCTAGGCTCGAAGAGTGATTCCATGCACTCAGTGTGGAGCGGACTACGGTCCAACCACCGCCTTGTATGCGATTGATTCCCACATACAGCGTGCTTGTATTTGCCTGTGAAGGAGAGTGGGCCGGCTTCGTTGATGAAACGTGGCTCCCCTTCACGTGTCTTCTCGTCTTATTCTTTTGGGTTTACACTGGATATGGTGTGTGTGTGGTTGGAGCTGTGGGTGGTGCAGCGCAAGCCATCCATGATTTCTCTGTTGGCGCAGACGTGCTGTGGCTGTCCACGGTGACAGGCAAATCCGATACTGGATATATATATATATATATATATATATATATATATATATATATATATATAAAGATATGTGTAACGATATATATATATATATATATATATATATATATATATTTAACACGTGACCAATTGCATGCCATTAGCGGAGTGCAGCATCACACAGGATAAAAAGTGCTGCTTAAAAGGGAATACGATAGTTAGAGAATAATAGTCTTACAGCAAGTACGCCATGGCTTTCGGTCTTTGGCTGAATCCAGTAGCGTTTACAACTGTGCTCGCGATCCGTGTTTCCATTGTTCTGGACTCGGGAACGCCCATCTACAGCCAGTTTCGATGTTTTCGCCTTCACGCATTGGATTCAGGTTTCACACTAACATCGTCGCTTCTAGCACCCGCTTGCGTTCGCAAATTTGACACGTTGTGGTCGCCTCTGAGTAAGCATGCTGAGCACATATCCAAGCCATTGGAGCCTCAGTGAAATAATTTTGTTTACCGGTCTAAGGAATTTGTCACATTTGTGAACTCGCTTACGGAACTTCTCGTTACTGATGTTATGCTGTCACCGAACACCATCACTGCTCCGTAGGCAGCGTTGATCGAACTCAGATAGCCATTGAACATCGCTGTTACTAACGGACCTAGTCTCGAAGTCATACAGCAGAATTGCTCGTGCCGCAGCCTCGTTGTTTTGGCCCTTTAGAGCGAGGCTATTACGACGTATCTTCGCTTGACTCTTATCCATTCTTGTTGTGTTCAAAAGTTGAGTCTCAGTACACCCGTGATCTGTTCATTTTACTTCACAGTTTGTCCGCGGTCTGTTGGCATTTTATCTCAATGGCTCCCCACAACCTACCGGCCTTATCGATGAATCCAAAACGACCACATCTGCGTTGGTCCATCCCTTGTCCGAACGCCGGCAGACTTGCTCGTTGCCCAAGCTTTCGTCAAGGCAGCATGACGCCACTAGTATCACAGTGTCCTTTGATCAGGCGAAAGAGCAGACAAATTTGTTAGACCGTCTCCGAAATGCGAAAATTCGTCTGAAAGGTGCGTTTTCTACTGCATAGTCACATAGTTTACATCGCTTGCTTTCCGTTTGGTCTCATTTCATCATCGATGACATGGTTTTTCATGCTTATTCCCTTGCTAACTATCATTCGTTCTCCTGCTAACTCGAGCCGCAATGCGACTGAATGCTACCATAATCATATTCAGATCAGTCATAGCAACACACTTTCACTTTTGGATGGAATTCTGCTGAAATTACCACCTACACAATTGTGGCCTCGTGTTTGCTCTTTCTAATTCAACTGTACATTGTGAATAATGTCATTGTCCTGAAACAGCGTTTACTAATCGGTTCTATTTGGTCTATTCAACTTTCGCATTTGTTTTCGTTTGTAGTAGAACTCACGTTACGTCACTTACATGATGTCGGATCGCCTGCTTTTTTCAAAGTTGTACATCCACCGTTTCGCGGTCCGCAGTACTCCGCGGTGTGCTGCTGAAATCGGTCACGCTCTCTTGTCTCATTTCATCCTGCTATTCGTATCTGGTGAAACTGTCTGATCGTCTTTGCTCGCACTCAACACCATCCTCTGAGTTATGAAAGTGAACCATGCTGTGTGTCGCGTTCTTATGTTAAGTTCACTGAAATGTCCTGCTGAATATCTGTTGTGTCCATCTCTTGCTTTCATGGGCCTGCGGCTGTTCTAAACTGCAGGAAAATACCTGTTTTGCGCTGAACCCTAGTTCCGATTCTCCGGGTGCCATTCTCGTTGACTTTTCTTACTGGTTGACAACTTGGGTCTTTTTCTCATTCCTATCCGCCTGTACCACAAGCCAATCCCTTGTCATTTACTCTCGTTTTATTTCCTATCATTCTTAAGTGCGTTAGTGATCGTATTCATGTTCAGGGCTAATACCGCTCAGTTCTCTTTAAGAATATCTCTCAGGAAAATCGGAGGAATCCGACCTTCAGGTGCTTCTTTCCTTGGCTGAGCAGCACGTCAATCAGCTGACAATAAAAAGTATATCAGATGCGCCAGCGGATACCTTTCATCCTCGTCCTTCGATTGATACGCCTTCTGTGCTACTTTTGGAACCGGATAGTCTGAGGGCCCGCGCGGTGCTCACTCCTTGTGGTGGCACCACTGGACCGGTGGTGAAGATGTGCTACCGGCAATTGAATGTTGGAACGTGTAAGTCGGCAATCTCGACACGAGCTTTTCTCATTGGCCGATTATTTTCTTTGATTTTGCTATTTTTGTCACCATCTTTGTTCCAAATCCCCCACCCACTCGTTCAAGCGCCTCTTGCACGATAGATAAATCGGGCCAATATTACGTTATCTAAATTTGTCGAAATACTCGCTATTCCGGTTTGCTATCTTTCTATTTAGCTCACGCCTTCTTTTTAAAGTACATTGTTTTTTAATCAACTATTGTAATTTCAACATCGCCATTTTCTTACCTTTTCACTTATTTTTGTCTATTTTTGGACTGCCTTCCATCGACTACTTCTGTATTCTCCATTGACCAAGTTGGATCTTGATATAGGCGAGACACACGTCCTCAGTTTGTAGAGTTTGTTCAGTCTCGGGCTCCATTGACTTCTCTGTTTCCCCTCTTCAGCTTCGGATTGCCATTTGTGCCTCGGCAATTATCGCATCTCTAACCCCACCGTGGTGTGTCGCTTTGGTTCCGTTCACCATGCTACCATATTTTACGATGAATGGACGCGCCATTTTGAGTTGATCAACTACAGTGAATACGGCAGTCGAGTGGATGGGATTATCTACGGAAACGATGCGCAGCCCAAGTCCATTTACATGCCCACGGTCCGTCATTCGGTTCACCACTTTTCTTATGCTGTTCTGTTGTTTACCGCATTTCAATATGACTTATCCGAGTGATTAAGGTGGCTGATACTGTCCTAGTTAACTGAATCTCATCTCAACGGCATTTAATTTCTGGCAATGAGCTATTTATTATGATAAAACCGTACTACTATCAAGTAACTAGTAGAACGTTGTGCCTAACGTGTGAATTCTCCATTATCTCAAATGAGTCGCTTTCGCCTGTAGAAGCACTCTACCATGATCCTGGAACAAGTTGATTGATTCAAAGGTACTGCACTTTCGCACCTCTATGCTAATACCATCTCTACTCCACTGTGACGACATTGTGTTTAACCCTGAAACACCAAACTTTTGTTGCGCGATTTATTACGAAATTGGAAGGTCTGACCACTACTTCCAACTGCTTTAAACTAGGATTCTTCACGAGGACCGTCTTGTGGATATCATGATGAGATATGAGTATAAAACCTTTGTTATGCCGGGAAGGGTGTGTCTCGTGGAATCAAGTGTTTACATCATGATTAGTCCACTCCCAATCTGTGCAATTTGTCTCAATTCCCAATCTGTTGCGTTAACGTCTAAAAAGTATGGCTTCATTTGAAAACTTTTCCTCCGGACCATTTGATGTCAGTTTGAATTCACGTCCCATTTGTCTTTTATACCCATCTCTTGACATTCTAGGCTTCCACTGTCACGGACCGTGCACGCCAACTTTTGCGCAACGAGTTTTCCACAGAATCGGTCGTCCCTGACCAACTACCTCATGCTTCCAAGCGTCCACGTATGGTTGGATATCTTCGCGAGGTAACGTCATTCAACCACGACACATGCAACTATAATTTATCTACTCACTGTTTAAAACATGCACCATCGGTAGCTAAGTTTTATCCATTTTTGCGTGTCTGATTACGGCTAACAAGTCCTCTCTGTTGAAGTTGACTGGTGAACCCCTTATAGATTCAGTCTTATTGATTCCACTCTATCCTCCTTCTGACAAATTGTAGGTCTTACTGATTAGCTAGATGTAGGGATCTCGATAGGTCATTCCCGGTTCTCCATTAGTTTCCTTTCCATGTGACCAACTGCATTTGTGCATCTGTGCTGCTTTACATCTCATCATCACAGTAATACTGTTGATCTTTTCCTTCAGCCTAATTTTCCATCGCAATGAGGCTGGACCTTACCGTGGTGCGATGGTTTGTGTGCCTCAGCTACGCTGGGTGGTGCTTTTGCACCTTCAGAGTCACTCATACCAGATTGGTCAAACAAACTCAGCCTCCTGGTCCTCCAGGTTGGGGGTTGGAATGAGGGTGGCACCTTATTCCTTAAAACGGACTCCTTGTAGCTCAACGCCAAACCCGCTGCCTTGCGGTCAGGTTTTTGAACCAAAGGCTTTGGTTGAGAACCCTAATCGTTCTCCTGTCTAGGCCTGGGCAACCTGACAGTATCCTGCCCACGCAATACCATGAATATTATCTCAAACAAATTGCTGATGCTATAACCATCGCACAGGATAATCAACAGTGCCCTATCTGCTGCATCGAGCAGGGTGGATAGGGGTTTGGATGCTCCTGCTCAAGACTTCCCATCTTCTTATTCCCCATCTTACGCCTTTTCACTCTTACCGTCCCCTTCCAACTTCACTTATATCCCCCAGTTTTCAACCCCCCGATTCTTGGCCCTTCCCCAACATGATTTGCTAGGCATTTGCCTTCTAATTTCAACTCACACGTGAACGCGGAGCGTCACTCCTCTCCTGTCGACAAGCCCATGTCCAACCAAGCGGTCCAATCCAGTTCATCGGCTTCCATTTGGAGCCCTCGATCCTCCTTCAGATTGGCATGCCTCAATGTACGCACACTGCTACAAATCGGTCAACAGGCAGCACTTGCCCGAACATTGGAGACCCTCTCGATCGATATCTGCTGCTTATCAGAGACTCGCCTGCAAGACTCGAGCACTGTGCGCACTCTGTGATCCCCTTCAGGGGACGCAAGCAGTATTTTCTCCTTGCGCCTATCCGGTGACGATGCAGCTTCGAGCACCGGCCAAGCCGGTGTTGGTATTGTCCTGAGTCCCCGAGCTGAAGCTGCACTGGTTGATTGGATTCCAATCAGTAGCCGGATGTGTGCGGTCCGATTGGCTGGCTCGTTTAAAGCTTCGAAGTCGCGCGGGACTAATAGATGTCTATTCATCATCGCTGCCTATGCGCCCACAAACTGTAGCGATGATTCGGTAAAGAACGACTTCTACCGCCAACTGACCCAGCTCCTTCGCCACAGAAGAAGCACGGACACTGTTGTGCTGGCGGGGGATATGAACGCACAAGTTGGAAAGTTGTCCACTGATGAACTGCATCTGGGCGGTCAACACGGTGTAGGCTCCCGTAATGATAACGGTGAGCGGTTACTTCATTTGTGTGAAGATGCTCGCTTATTTCTTGCGAGCACTAATTTCCGACACCGCACCCGCCGAAGGGTGACTTGGCGCCCACCAACCTCGAACCAGCCTTGCACGCAGATCGATCACATTGCTATCAGTTACCGCTGGAGAGGCTGCATCCAGAATTGTCGCTCGATTTGGAGCACATGTGTGGACACCGATCATGCACTTGTATGTGCTGACATGCGGATGCGTTTTGGCGGACGTCCACGACGACGCTGTGAGCGTATTGACACCAGCCAACTGACAAAGCCAGCTGTTCTGAATGCGTATCGAAGTACGCTAACATGCGAGTTGAGCAAGCGCTCACAGAAGACAATTGATGGTCACTGGTCACATGTTCGCCAGACCTTACTAGCAGCAGGCAAATCCTCATGTGGTATGTCTAATAGACAACATGGACATTGGGTCTCTTCGCAGTCTCTGGAACTTATAGATGCTCGCCGGCAAATCCCGGCTGGAAGCGAGCACAATGAAACTCGCAAAGAGCTCCGGGCGAAACTCCGTGCTAGCCTGAAGAGAGACCGCGAATCTTGGTGGTCTCATCGTGCGTCAGAGATGGAAGTGGCCGCTGCCCTTGGTAACCATCGTAAGTTATTCCGTCTGATACGGGAAACGGGCAGCAGGAGACCTGGTGTTAGTGAAACTATACGTGACGAGAGTGGACAGCCTATCCACAATTTGTCAAAACGTCTGGAGCGTTGGGCTGAGCATTTTAAAAGGAAATGAATCGACTAGAATTGTTCGATTCTTCGCCGGTCATTGATCGCCCCGCTCCGTGGGCTGTCCCTTTGGATCCACCCTCTCGCTCAGAAGTCGAACGTGAGATCGGACTGTTGAAGTTGAACAAAGCCGCGGGACCAGATGATCTTCCTCCAGCCCTCTTCAAATTTGGAGGCTCTGCTCTTGTTGATGCTTTGCATGAATTACTAGTGAAACTGTAAGAGCAGGAAACTGTCCCAACCGACTGGAGCCGCTCCGTTATTGTTCCCATCTTCAAAGGCGGCTCGCGCTCGGAATGCGGCAACCATAGAGGAATCAGTCTGATCTCCATCGCCTCCAAATTACTCGCGTCCATAATTCTCCAGACTGACTGGCGCTCGTGAAAGCCAGATTCGTGAGGAGCAAGCCGGGTTTCGTCGGGGTCGTGGCTGCATCGACCACATCTTCACCTTGCGTCAGTTGTAGGAGCACCGTCACACATATTGGCGGCCCACCGTAGTCGTGTTCCTCGACATCAAAGGTGCCTTCGATTCGGTTGATCGATGTGCCCTTTGGAATTGTCTACTCAGGAAAGGTGTGCCCGAGAAATATGTAAATATTATCCAAGCATTATATGCGCGTAGCACGGGCAGAGTAAGGGCTTACAGCAGGCTGTCGCCACCCTTCAATATCTCCAGCGGTGTGAGACAAGGATGCCCGCTGTCACCTTTCCTCTTCAACTTCGCTGTTGACGAAGTCATGGAGATTGCATTTACAGGACACGACTTGGAAGGTGTGGAGTTACTCCCAGGAGAACGACTTCTTGACTTAGAGTATGCAGACGACATTGCCCTCATCTGTGACAGCTCCCAGACGTGTCAAGCCGCGCTGGACAGATTAGCACTGGCTGTCAGTCGCTTCGGGCTTTGCTTTGCACCACCGAAGTGCAAAGCGTTCCTCCAGGATTGGCAGGGTTCGCCCCCTGTGCTGACCCTTGGTGGGGATCAGCTAGAAGTCGTTCCGAAATTCAATTACCTGGGAAGTTGTATCAGCGCCCTTGGGATCGAAGACGAGAGCACGAACCGCATAGCGAAAGCTCGAAGTGCTTTTGCTAACCTTCGCCACCTATGGCGACGGCGCGACATTACTCTCGCCCTGAAGGGTAGAGTGTACAATGCAGCGGTACGTTCGACCTTACTGTACGGTTGCGAAACCTGGCCCCTAAGATCGGCGGACATGAAGAGGCTAGTTACGTTTGACCATCGGTGCCTTCGCAGTTTGGCTCACATCTGGTGGGAACACCGCGTGAGTAACGAGCGTGTTCGACGCATTGTTTACTGCCCAGGAAAAGGATCTGAACCGCTCAGCACCGTTATTTCCCGCACCAGGCTCCGATGGCTCGGCCAAGTGTTACGCATGCCAGCCCACCGACTCCCTCGACGTGCGTTGTTTGCTCACCGGGGATGTGGGTGGTAGAAGAGGAGAGGTGGCCAAGCGATGACTTGGTCCAGGGGAATGAAGTCCCTCACCTCGGAGCTAGCCTCGGTTGGAGCTTCACGGCTCCCTGGTTGGGGTCCAAAAGACGGCGAACACGTTTGGCTGGATACACTTGCTGACATGGCAAGGAGCCGACCTTAGTGGCGTTCCTGCTGTGAGTTTCTTTGTCCCTCCCCATCCCTTTAGCCTCCCCCTCCATCTGCGATCTTATTTCGTAGGGTAAAACGTAATTAAATTTTTGTTTTTGCCTAGTAGCCGGCTAGTAGCTTACCGGAACGATGCGTATCCGTTGCTGGTAGCTCAGCTGGCATTCAACTGTCGTATTTATTTTTCCTTTATGTATTGTATGTATGTAGGTATTTCCTTTATGTATTGCGGTACAATAGCGGAGGTGTTTTACCATCTCTAGCTGACATGTATAATGATGATGATGATGATCAGCCTAATTTTATCTCGATAGAAGAGTCCCTGCGTGCCCGCTTTTCTTACTAATCCCCTATGTTTCTAACTCAAAGGTTCAGATTGTCGCATCCTTCACCACGGACTAGGTTGGTGTTACCACCAAAAATTTCCACCGTATATCCATACCATGTTTATCATTTCTGGTGCCTCAGCTTCTTACTAAAATCGCGTCTACTGCCCACCCTATAAGTATTCTTCTCAGTAGTAGGACTCGAGGACTGCCAACGATGCGCAATCGCTGGACCGTCGATTCCCGAGTTGAAAGAAAAATCAGCCACTCCGGGCGTTAGAACTATCTGTGCCTTCGCGTCGCGCTCCATCAGCTCTGTCCCCCAACTTTATTACCCGTTGCCATGTAGTGAATGACCTATCGGGCTCCTCATCTATTCGCGTCGTTTATTGACTTGTAGCTTATGGTGATCCACTCGATTCCGTCGTCGTGTGCCTTAATTGTGGCTTGTATCCGATGGATTTCGCCTGAACTCCCTGGTGCCGGCACCTTCGTTGCTATAACAGCGAACGTAACCTTGGCGCAGCAGACATAAAGCCATTCGGAAGTGCGTAACAGCCTAATTGACGACTGTTGGGAATATTTCCAGGTAGGAGTTTAGGGGATTCTTCGAGATTTTGTTCGAGATGGGTAGTTTGTTTACAGAGGGTACATTGCTACATTAGCGGACGTTACACACTTGCTGATATGGCTAGGAACCGACCTCAGTGGTGTTCGTGCTGTGAGTTTCTTTGTCCCACCCCATCCCTCTTGGCCTCCCCCTCCAACCACCATCTCACTATTTAGCCTTATCTAATTTTACACAGTAATTTTTTTTAATGCACAGTAGCCGGCTGGTAGTTTACCGGAACGATGCCCATCCGTTACCGGTAGCTCAGCTGGCTTGCACCTGTTGCATTTTCCTCTTTTTTCCTCGATGTACTGCAGCACAGTAGCTGAGGTGTTTCCTACCTCTAGCTAACGTGTATAATAATAATGATGATGATGAGGCGACGTTACCAGTTCGACTTACATAGTGTAGTTATCTGCTGTTACTCGGTTATCACTTTATCGCCAGAGTTTCTCTCCTAATCTGTTTTGTTATGGTGAACCAGTGATGGGTCGACTGACTATTCGCTTTCTGTGTCCCTTTGACTTGAGTAACATTGGTGACTTGAATCTCAGCGCTTTCTACACAGGCCCTAGATTTCGAGGTAGTAAGATTGATGTATCACTGCCCTGAACGTTACACTGACGCCCTTATCTACTTCGACACCAGAGCGTCTGCGAACAAACCACTCGGCTCGTAGAAGCATTGATCTTTTCAAAGGCCACTGATGGCCGTTCGCATTCTCTCTCTCTCTCTCTCAGGGTCATTGTTATACAACCGACCGCTGTAATTGTGACTGCACCGGCTTTGAAGTCCTCTCTGATATGGAGCGTTCTGTGTCTGAGGACCAGATATCACAGACAGAATCTTCCGACCTGCAGTTGACTGGCTGGGAAGGTTCTGCAATTCTTCGTCATGGATCGGTGGTCCAGTTCGGGTGCTACAAGTTCGTCTTGAGTCTTGTCGACTTTGCACCCACTCATCGAGAGACCGTTAACTTTTCCTACGCCAAAGAAAATTGAGGTCACCGCTTAATTTCCTTTACCCCAAATAGACTGTCTTTAACAGAGCTCAAGTCATGGAACTCGCACTTGTGCTTCCTTTGTGGCGATGATTTCACCCCTGTCAAAGAATTCTTCCCATTTCTCCTCGTTTCATTTGTTCTCTTATCTCGTCCGCACCAGAGCCGTGTCCTTGTACAGTTTTTACTTCAATCTTTTTAAATCTCTCGCCACTCATGTACATGCTTCGACCTCTGAACATAGAGGATCTTCAAACGTTTTTTTCATTGTCCTCTACTGGAATCGTTCTCAACTTGCCGCCTCTCCTGTCCTCTCGCACTGATCCGATCTGCTTACCATTCTTTCGTATGATTCTCGTCAAAGTCTTGTTCTTTTGGGTGACTTGTGCATGACGGAGCTTCAACTCCTTTATTGCTTATGCTTTTTGATGCAGTCGGATCTTTAACAACAAACCACGCGCATTTTGCACCCGAACATCCAAATGACCTCTTCTAGTTCGCAGCTGGTTTGCTCAATCTAGGATTTATCTTTTCTTATTGATCATCCGCTCCACACTTCAGTCATGTCGAGAAAGTAAAGTGTAATTTTGATGTATTAGATTTTTGGTGAATAATACGACTTTGGTTGGGTTGCTCACTCTGTATTTAGTTTGTTATAGGGTAGTCGGAGCATTTTTAGTATTTTTGAGTATGTTTGTTGCCGTCAGATTAATTCAGCGGACCACATTTCCAATTCGCTGGACAGCCATTTGGTCCTACTGCGGCCCATCAGCCGCCTGCATCCACCGAGTCTCATTGGATTCGAACCGGTGGCTCCTTCGTGTCATGGAGCCACCGGTGACAGTGACGGACATCCACGACTGATTAGTGTCGGCCGGTGGCCGAAAAGGTTGCATGCCTGGTGTACCAACGATACTAAGCCTAAACTAAGTACGTCGTACGAAAACTAAACAAGAAACTACGAATAAATAAAATTAGACTTAACGCACGGTCTGGGCAGAAGAATAAAACGAATTATCCTGTAACCGTGGTTCTATAAGGCATATTAAATACAGTACATGACTTACGAATAGGTTTTGCAATTGTAATGCAAGTGGGCAGAAACTCTACGGTGTGGGGCAGAGCGAGTATTTGGGCAGTGTCACAGTAACATAATAATATGAATGACCTTGAAACGTCAAGGTTGTGTCAGTGATCGAGTGAAAGGAATAAATATACGATGTGTTAACCGCTTGTAAGACAAGAGCAAGATAATTAAAAGAGCAAGATAATTAGGTAATAGAGATACCGTGTCCTCATGTAAGCAATCCAGGTTGGAGATACATCAAAGTTCCTTTTGGACTTTACACCTGGCTTTCCGTCCTTAGGTAACCTGTTCAAATCCGCGTAGGGAGGTGGGCGTTCTCACCGTATACTGAGTCCACAAGCGACCGGTGGTGGTGGCATGGTAGCGAAGCGTCGTTACAGTGTGCCGACGTACTGCTGATGACCTTCTTCTGATTAGTGGCTGCGATGTAGCACGGCTCACTCTCTACTACCTTGCATGTTACTAATGTGGAGAGGACAAGGCTAACCCCCGGAGCTACGACTTCCCTTTCAAGTGGCTGCCAATCGAGGTGATACGTATCTTGTGATCCCTCTGGCAGTAGAAGCAATACCTGTATCCTTGCTGCCTCCAAATCTTATCTTCGTACTCCGCGGATAGTTTCGCCTTTCAGACGGAAATATTCACAACTGGGACCCGAACATGAAACTTTCATTTGGCGGTAGACGCGTGTATCCTAAGCTAACGACGCTTATTACAGCCATTAGAGATTCATTAGTTGGTTTGGTGTGTCCACTTGACTCTTGGTTGATGTCGCAAAATCACAAGTTGAACTCGATTTTCAATTAAAGTTAACTTCAGTTATTTCGTCACTGGAAATGCATTTTAAGCAGAGGGATATTAGGTCTTTTCCCTCACTCCTTCGATGAAGCTACTCTGGCTGAGATGCCAATTTGGAACCTAGCGACCACCGACGAAATGGCCGTCCGACGAATTGGTGATGTGGTCCGCTCAATTAATCTGACCGCAACGAACCTAATCAAAAACACAAAATCCCTGCTTTACTGAACTGTGCGAACACCGTCCGTGCCGAAGGTTAACAATGTATTTCAACGCTCAAAGTTTTATTCGGATTACATCAGATGACCTCGTTTAGGATTTAGACTTTATCTGACGTAGCTGGCAATCAGCTATTGAACCGACTGCACATTTGAAATTCATTTTGACTCCTTGGGAGTGCATGGCGGACTGTCAAACCATTGTCAAGGCTACTTCTCATCTACATTAAAGACATCTGATAATGAGCACCAAGTCACGGGCTCAAATGTCCCGTTGGCTGTTTATCTTGTGTCCAGCTGAGGATAAAGCAGGTTATAGTGGGTTATATCGAGTGCCAGTGACACGGAAAATGTCCGTCTCTCTTCGTATTTTCGTTAATTTCTCGTCGCACGATGACAGCACTTCTTCCTGCTTTCACTCGGCTGTCTGAGAGAGCTCACACTGGTCTTCTAATCCGTTGTTTAGTTCTGTTAAACAACCGTTTCCACAGTTTTTTTGTCGGTTCATCAGAATCGCCAGTCCCGTCGTATTTGTCCAGTTTCTGCTTCAATCGATATGACAATGTTAGCGATCCATCCTCTTCTCATAGCAATTGCGATTGTCGAGCGTTTCATGACCCTTTTTGAACGAAGCGCAAAGTACACCTTTCCGACCTTTCGGGTTTGTAATTCAATGATGTGTATGTGATGCTTAACGTGTTATTTCCATTGTTCTGGTGTCACTAGACACTCTTACTTGTTGTTGTAGGTTTGCTCCATCATAAACCATTTCCTCGGTATTTCCGCTGCCTTCACTGACCCCGGTTGATGGGTGTTGTGCACGCTGCACCGTGTAGGCAATAACCCGTACTATAAAATTGTTCATGCGATCAGTATTTGATCGTTGCGACAAGCTTTGCTCGTCGTAGCTTAGGGGTTGAGATTTCTGTGGACATCACAGTAGCCTGGTGCTCGATGCCTGCTCTGTCTACTTGCTGAGGTCAGGCAACTTCGAAACCGATCATAGAGTGCAGTGTTTTGGGACGGGCGACACCTGATATTTTTTCGCTCCATCAGCCGTAGTGATCGAATTGATCAAGGTCTAATTCAATGGGATTCCGATTGAGATTGCGCGTCGCAATACATTTATACAACAAATGCATCAAAATGACCCTTCCGATGGAAGCAATTGTTTATTATGGGTAAAAAGCGAATGCTTGACAAGTTCCATCTAATGGAAAGGTGAATAAATTAAGAAGGCAATGTATCGTCATCGCATTAGCGCAGTTGTTGGTGATGTGCACACCGACTTTGTGTCACGTTAGTGCCTATTCAAAAAGGGCAATATCACTTATTGTGAGTTCGTCAACAATGCGCTTTTTGATTACCAGTAATTTGGGGTAAGAAACAACGTGCGTGGTGATACAGCAGGTTGGATGCATTTAGATAGAGGAGATTGCAGTGTCACTCCAACCGGCTATACTGTGTGGTCAACTTTAACTGGTGTCCTCAGTGTGGTATTTTGGTTCCGTTTCTGGTGACGACAAACGTAGTTGTGATTCTTCTGGATCCGATAGGTCAGTATCATATCGCCACGCTGGCGCCTGTACTGTTCACTGTAGACTCCTAGGATTTTTAGTCTAAGTTGGTGAGAGAGATGGCACAATGCATATACATTCTTGGTTGCTCTCCTTTATGAAATTTCGAGTGTGACTAGGTCTTGGTTTTGCCAGGTGTTAATAGTGTGTTCTGAATGGGGTCTAATGGAGGCGTTGAGCATCTCGGGGAAGGATATAATGGTCAGACCACCTGGATGTCCTCCGCAATAGCCCAGTTTTTTATTGGACCTTTTTGCTGATTTCTCAGGCCATTTAAACAGTCAGTGTCGTCTTGCACTAGCACTCCTACATCGCATTCAGTAGGTATGTGATGCACAAAGTGACCCTGTAGCCTGTACTCGCCATTGTATTGACAGTTTATCCAAAATGTCTTAATCTTGGCCGCATTAACGTGATCATTTCGGAGTTGTCCACTCATGTACCGTGTCGAGATCGTCCTGCAGCACTGCGTGGTCACCTGTTGTCTTGAAAACCCCGAATATCTTGGGGTCATCAAAGAAGGACAAGATATTTGAAGCGATCACTTTCGCTAGGTCGTTCAGGTAAATTAGGGACAGTAATTAGCCCGGTACTGGCTTTTGTGACATTCCGCACTGAGTTTCGATTGAGTCGAATATGGCACTGTGGAAGGAGGAAGTTACCTATCCAACTTAGAACCGGATCATTAATTCCAGATCTCTAGAACTTGTTAAGGACAATGAGATGATTCCGATGGTCGGACATCCTAATATCAAGTGGACGACTTTTGTGCATACATGAAACGATAAGCGTAATAGATCCCAAACTTGATCTACCGATGTCCTCTCACTTTCGAGTTATATCGATGAGCTAAAACAAATATCTGCACATCGCAACTTGTCGTGTCCTGCGTACAGCCGATTTCTTGTTCAGAAACTTGTAACAGGATAGATCAAGCTGGAGAGCAGTAGCTAATGGCCAGCTTCGTCACTTTCCCTGCCAATGCCCGTAATACCAACACTTTTCTTGCTTAGTGTACATCACTTTTGGTCACCCACTGAACTGATATTTCTGTTCATAGTACTAGATAGCGCCTCTCGGATGCTTCAGGGAAAGCTCCCAATGCAACCAAGCAATATTGGTTACATCTCAACTAGGGTCGAGTCAAGCTTTTTACCATGGAAGTGTTTCGGGTCAACACTACGAGGCAATTTTTGTCTTTTTACCAATTAATCTCATTCATGAAGTTGCCTTGATAAGCTTTTACCTGTTTCATGGGTCGCATGTTAGTTGTTATCCACTTGCCCTGTCAAATCGAAGTGCTCAAAGGGGCATAACTGCTCAGATAGCTAATGGGCTACCTCGAGCTCCTTCGATTTACTTCTTTTTTCAATACGGTAGACTAGTTTACACTATCGCTGCCGAGCTACATTTGGAACTATACAGCCGGCGCAGTAGTCATTCGTGATTAGAAAGTACATCGTTCCTTCGTTTATCCCCCATGGCTGATGTGGTGGCATTTTTCACATCTACCGGACTCGGGTTTCTACTTACACGCGAACCACTAGTATCGAGAAATATTTTATGATGCTCCACCTTTATCTTTTCTCGCATCTTAATGCCGAGTTTGAATTTATGATCCCGCTTGTTTTGGGTGGGTTACTGATATGCCCACTATTCGTTTTCGCGCGATCCATCTATCACGATCTTCAGCATATGGATATGCTAATCAGAACAAATGGTCCCACGGGACCGAATGTTTGCGACGCAACCGTGCGCTGCGAATTCCTTTACTCACATCTGCCGCTTAGAAAAATCCTTTTTGATCATTCTAACACCATACATACGGCATAACGTTGAACTCTTCACTCTCCAACTTCTCTGTCTCCACCATCTTCGTGTTTTTGCCACTATGTGGTCTCTTGTCGCCTGGTTGGGTTGGCGTCATGGAATACCCGAGAAAATGGATTACCTTGC